AGGTTCCAGAGAGAAAATCTGGCTTTGTTAATAGTTTTTGCCATATGGGCGTTCCAGGTGAGTCTTTTATCTAGGGTGACCCCTAGATATTTCACCTCCGTCGCAAACGGAATGCTCTCTCCATATAGGACAGGCTGACGAAGCTTATCTAGCTTTTGCCTTTTTGTAAAAGGGATGATTACAGTTTTCCGGGGGTTCACAGACATCTGCTCCCTCTCGCACCATCTGTACACAGTATTGAGGGCTTCTTGAAGGCCGCTTGAGATCGTCGCTTCAAATTTCCCTCTTACTATTAGGACGAGATCATCTGCATAGCATTGGAAATCCACCCCCTGCATGGAGAGATCGCTCAGCAGAAAGTCAACCAAAAATGACCACATAAGGGGGGAAAGTACCCCGCCCTGTGGACATCCTTTTGCCGCTCTAAACCTGATCGACCCTCCATGCAGTGATGATATGACGTACCGATTTCCAATCATGGTTTTGATCCAGTTGCATATTTGCCTGCTGATTCCTCTACCTTGCATTGCCATGTAGAGTGATTGTGGTAGGGCGTTATTGAACGCTCCTTCTATGTCTAGGAAGGCTGCCAGCGCAATTTCCTTATGATCCAAGGAATGGCTGATCTTTCCTACAAGATTGTTCAGTGCTAAATCCGTTGATTTGCCTGTTTGGTAGGCATATTGATGGGGATTTAGGGGATGCTCCCTTAGATTCCCCTCTCTAATATGCATGTCGATGTATCTTCATTCGCCTATTGTACCCGATATAATCCCTCCAAAGTCGTCTTATACGGTCACTGCAATCGTTTCTGCATCAACTGTATGCATGTCAGATGCTGGACTGCAGAGTTACAGTGTAAACGAAGTCAGAGTCGGAGTTTGATGTTCTGCAAGCTGTGTGCGTTATAACCGCTTGGAGGTCGTCTTATATGGTCAATGCGAACTTGTCTGCTTCAATAGTGTCCATGTAAGATGATTTGATAGAGAGATATAGTGTGCACAACGATGAAGTCGATGTATCTTCATTTGTTTATTGTACTCGTTATATACCCTCCACCTACCTCATACCTGTCGTCCTATACGGTCACTGCAATCGTATATGCTTCAACTGTATGCCTGTCAGATGCTAGACTGTAGGGTTACAGTGTTAACATAGTCGTAGTCGAAGTTTTTTTTTTCTGCAAGATGTGTGCGTTATACCCGCTTGGGAGTCTTATATGGTCAATGTGAACTTAACTGCTTCAATATTGTCCATGTGGGGTGATAGGATAGAGAGGTATGTTGTGCACAACGATGATGTCGATGTATCTTCATTCGCCTATTGTACCCATTATAATTCCTCCGAAGTCGTCTTATACGGTCACTGCAATCGTTCTTGCATCGACTATATGCATGTCATATCCTGGACTGCAGAGTTACAGTGTGAACATAGTCGAAGTCGAAGTTCCTTGTTCTGCAAATCGTGAGCGTTATGCTTGCTTGGGAGTCGTCTCATATGGTCAATGCGAACTTTTCTGCTTCAATAGTGTCCATGTGAGATGATAGGATGGAGAGATATAGTGTGTACGACGATGAAGTCGATGTATCCCCATTTGCCTGTTGTACTCGTTATATACCCTTCAAAGTCGTCTCATACGGTCACTGCCATCGTATCTGCTTCGATGTTATGCATGTCAGATGCTAGACTAATTGTTCTGCAAATCGTGTGCAATATGCTCGCTCGGAAGTCGTCTTATAAGGTCAATGCGAACTTGTCTGCTTTAATAGTGTTAATTTGAGGTGATAGGAACATAAAACAACTGCTTTCAGAGCATCTTTCTCCTTCCATCGCGCAAAAATCTATAATTCAATTTCTGTTAAAATGAAAAATTTGTCTGTCAGCAATCTGGGAAAGAGAATGAAAGCAAAACTTTGGAATGAAGATGTTATCTTGTGAATATTCAGATGTTTATAGTCTATTTCCAATATTTAATTTTTTTGCCACACAAGATACAGTTATTGTTTTCTCTTTCCCTACTTTCTCTTTCCCCATTGGGTCTTTTGTCACGGAATGTCATTATAATTATTACTAGAACTTTATTCATTTTTTCATTTTATCATTATTTTTTGAATTTTTTTTTTGTTACTGAAGGTTTAGTGGAAGAGCGCCGCTTCTTAACTTCACAGTTGAAGAAGTGCAAACTCTGCTTTTTGCATAGATAGGTTCACACAGACACATACATATATCATGAATATAGTTGTTATAATCATGTTCATATATTATTATTACGATTATCGAGATAAAAACCAACTCATTATTCGTTTAGTTATATTAATCATGTGTACCTATCTATCTGTTGCAATAAAATCATTTATTATTATTATTTGAGTTTATATGATTCCAGTCACGACCCTGCGGCCTCCGACGTCACGCAGAGTCGTGCTGGATGAAATCCAGTGACTACTCCTCACAGCCTGTGAGGTGAGTAATCACTGGGACCAATTACCGTGTGCCCTGAGTGGACGCAATGATCCAAGTATGACGGCCTTCTGCATACCACCAGCCAGGATGTGTGCCTTATCACGGCACGCTGGGATTTTCTGGATATCCGAGAGTAGCGTGTGTCGTGTGCCTCCTAGGGAGCCGATTATCAGGATGACCAATTCCACAGAATGTTCTGGATAGAGCCTGCGGAGTTCGAAGAGAAGGTATCGATATTTAGCCCGTTTCTCCTCCTCCTTCAAAACGATGTTCGGTTCGGCTGGCGCCAAATCATTTATTATTATCATTATTATTTTAGTTAATATAATTCCAGTCACGACCCTGCGGCCTCCGACGTCACGCAGAGTTGTGCTGGATAAAATCCAGTGACTACTCCTCACAGCCTGTGAGGTAAGTAATCACTGGGACCAAGTACCGTGTGCCCTGAGTAGACGCAATGATCCCAGTATGACGGCCTTCTGCATTCCACCAGCCAGGATGTGTGCCTTATCACGGCACGCTGGGATTTTCTGGATCTCCGAGAGCAGCGTGTGTCGTGTGCCTCCTAGGGAGCCGATAATCAGGATGACCAATTCCACAGAATGGTCTGGATAGAGCCGGCGGAGTTCGAAGAGAAGATCTCGATATTTAGTCCGTTTTTCCTCCTCCTTATTATTATTATTATTATTATTATTATTATTATTATTATTATTATTATTATTATTATTATTATTATCATCATTATTATTATTATTATTATTATATAGTGTGTACGACGTTGAAGTCGATGTATCCCCATGTGCCTATTGTACTCGTTATAAACCCTTCAAAGTCGTCTTATACGGTCACTGCCATCCTATCTGCTTCAACTGTATGCATGTCAGATGCTGGACTGCAAAGTCACAGTGTAAACATAGTCAGAGTCGGAGTTCCTTGTTCTGCAAGCTGTGTGCGTTATACCTGCTTGAAAGTCGTCTTATATGGTCGATGCGAACTCGTCTGCTCCAATAATGTCAATGTGAGATGATAAGATAGAGAGATATAGTGTGCACAACGATGAAGTCGATAATCCCCTATTGCCTGTTGTACTCGCTATATACCCTCCAAAGTCGTCTTATATGGTAACTGCAGTCGTATCTGCTTCAACTGTATGCATGCCAGATGTCAAACTGCAGAGTTACAGTGTGAACAAAGTCGGAGTCGAGGTTTCTTGTTCTGCAAACTGTGTGCGTAATACCTGCTTGGGGAGTCGTCTTATACGGTCACTGCAATCGTTCCTGCATCAACTGTCTGCATGTCATATGCTGGACTGCAGAGTTACAGTGTGAACATAGTCGAAGTTCCTTGTTCTGCAAGTTGTGTGTCTTATAACCGCTTAGAAGTCGTCTCATATGGGCATTGTGAACTCGTTTGCTTCAATAGTATTCATGTGAGATGATAGGATAGAGAGATAGAGTGTGCACACCGATGGAGTCGATGTAACTTCATTTGCCTATTGAAGTCGTTATATACCCTTCAGAGTCGTCTCATTCGGTCACTGTCATCGTATCTGCTCCAACTGTATGCATGTCAGATGTTTGACGGCAGAGTTACAGTGAAAACATAGTCGACGTCGAAGTTTCTTGTTGTGCAAGTTGTGTGGGTTATACCCGCTCGGAAGTGGTCTCATATAGGCATTGGAAACTCGTCTGCTTCAATAGTATCCATGTGAGCTGATGGGATAGAGATATAGAGTGTGCACACCGATGCAGTCGATGTATCTTAATCTGCCTATAGTACTGGTTATATACCCTTCAGAGTCGTCTTATATGGTCAGTACGATCATATCAGCTTCAATTGAATTCATGTCAGATGCTAGACTGCAGAGTGACAGTGTAAACATAGTCGACGTCGAATTTTCTTGTTCTGCAAGCTGTGTGCGTTATATCTGCCTGAAAGTCGTCTCGTATGGTCATTGCGAACTTGTCTGCTCCAATAGTGTCCATGTGAGATGATAGGATAGAGAGATATAGTGTGCACAACGATGAAGTCGATGTATCTTCATTTGCCTATTGTACTCGTTATATACCGTTCATAGTCATCTTATACGATCACTGCAATCGAATCTGCTTCAACTGTATGCATGTCAGATGCTGGACTGCAGAGTTACAATGTAAACATAGTCGAAGTCGAAGTTTCTTGTTCTGCAAACTGTATGCGTCATACCCGTTGTGAGTCGACTTATATGGTCAATGCAAACTCGTCTGCTTCAATAGTGTCCATGTGCGATGATAGGATAGAGATATATAGAGTGTTTGAGTTTCTGTAGCAGCGTAAATCGGTAGCGGTCGCATTTATTTATCTCTGAATATAACTTCGCTTTTCCGTGTGAAAATCACTGTCGAAAACTGTGTAATTTGTCCTAGTGATTGTTGATGACTCAAGGAATACATTTGGTGAATTTCTTGTAATTCTAGTGAGTTTAACTCTATATTCACTCTTTTTGCTGTGCCGTTCGTTCATCAAACAGTAACAGTTTATTTTGATATTCGTACACGATGCCGCCTCCCTCTACCTGTGGAGTGTGCGAGTCCGCTATCAGTGGCGATAATAACGATAGCCTTCATTGTTCAGTATGCTTCGAACAGACGCATCGGACGTGTGGTCAGCTGCTCTCAGATTCGACGTGGATATGTACGAAATGCGCCGAAAATTCAGACTCTTCCTTTAAATCGACTGTAGCTATGAATAAGGATGAACCTCTGACGGTCAAGCACTTTGAATTGATCATGAACCAGCTCTCTTCCCTCAACAGTTCTATCATTTCATGCAACAAACATATTAAAGACCTGCATTCTCTAGTGGCCTCTCATGCAACTGCCATTTCCAACTGTGAGTCGAACATTTCCTCGATACAATGTAACAATTTGAAACTAAACGACCGAATATCTCAACTGGAAAATCATGTAATGGAGGGTAATGAGGAAATTTACTTCGAATGTAATGAGCGTATCCTCAGGGAAAAAAACATTTTGATGATGGGTTTGCCTGAGTCCAGGGGTAATGATGATGATCTGGGCTTGGCTAAAAATATACTGCAATCTGTTGCGCCAGTATCTGAACAGAATATCAGAGAGGCCATCCGTTTTGGTAAGTCAACGAGTGGAAAGCAGCCGCTCAAAATCATCCTGCTATCATCCGAAATAGCTCTTGACATTCTGAGGAATAAGCGCAAGCTATCAAGAGAACAATTTCCCAATATCTCTATTAGAGCAGATCTAACTCCAAATCAACAGAAACATTTAAATGCGCTAAGATCCGAACTTGAAGAGAGGAAAAGTCATGGGGAAGCTGATATAACTATCAAATATAGTAATAATAGGCCCAAAATAGTCAAGACAACCAAAACTGATAGCGGAAACATTTCCTTACCTTCTAAGAGGACACGTGATGAAGAATATTCTCCAAAACGCAACTCGGGTTTGAAGGTTCATAAGCAAGTCACCAAACAATAGCAACCACTGACAATAATTGCTTGGAATGTACAAGGTTTCAAGCATCTCTCTGGATTCCAGGATGTTGCTGTTGATTTCCATATCCTGTGTGTCTGCGAGACGTGGCTCAAGGTGGAGTTAACTAGTCTCCCCCACAATTTTTCTGATTGTCAAATAATTAGTGTCCCGGCGATAAGTGAAAAATCTAACGGTCGTGCAAGCGGTGGTCTGTGCATCTTTGTAAAAACAAGTTTCTCATGCACTATACTTGAGAAAACCCCCTGGTGGATTTAGTGTTTTATAAAGCATCAGAGTTTCTCTTTCATACTATGCTTTCTTTATATAAAACCATCATTGAATATTGACGATATATTATCAAATTTCCAGCTTTCTGTGTCCAGTATGTTTGATGAATACTCCGACCACCTCATAGTTTTTATCGGTGATTTTAATTGTAGAGTAGGTAATCTTGGCGAAATATCTGATGAGGTGCTCGAAGGTACTAATCTATATGATAAAAGAATTAGTAGAGATATTACTGTGAATTCTAGGGGACGTGCTTTACTGGATTTCATGGACACAAACTCTTTTTGTTTAATAAATGGTAGAATCGATGGTGATAGACCTGCAAATTTTAGCTTCTGCAATCACTTAGGTCAAAGTTTAATTGATTTAGCTTGGGCTAATAACTCTCACCTGAGTTTAATCCGCGATTTTTGTGTTCTTAATAACAATCTGATATCTGATCACTTTGCTATCTCCTTAAAAATCGATTATGACATAAATATTCCTCTCATACCACCCAGTGAAAATACTCGAAGAAAAACTATTCGTTGGGATAATAATCTGACTGCTGCTTTCCGAACGAGAATGCTATGGTCTATGTGAGCCGTCTTCATTCCAAATTCAGAAGAATCATATCAAAATCTCCTCTTGGCAATCCAAGAAGTTGCATCTGACCTTGGTCTGATAAACACATCAAACTCGCTAAGAAATTATACACGTCGCGACAATAAACCCTGGTTTGACAACGAATGTAAATTTTTAAAACATGAAGTCAATGTCAAATTGAGAATCTGTAAACTGAACAACTTCTCGCTGGAATCTCGTGCTGATATGTTATCCGCAAAAAAACAATATACAAAGGTCATAGCTCAAAAAAAAAATCAGTTTTATAATTCTATCGTGGAAACTCTTAGTAATACCGCTAATTCAAGGGAATTTTGGCAAACCATAAAAAGGCTTAAAAATCAACAAGCTCAACTTTCTCCACTCTCTATTGCTGACTGGGAATCTTTTTACAATGGTGTTCTTCCACAGAGAATTATTGATGACATATGCTTCTTTGACGCTCGTGATGAGATCTTAGATACTCCCTTTTCCGTGAATGAGCTTCAGACTATTCTACACCAGCGTGGAAATGGTAAATCTCCTGCAATAAGTTATGAATTTTTCAAGAATCTGCCGAACAACTGGCTTGTCTACCTTTGCTCCCTATTTAATGAGATATTGACGTCCAAACATATACCAAAAGCTTGGGGCGATATTGTTCTGACGATGTTGCATAAAAAAGGACCAATGAATGACCCTAGCAACTATCGTGGTATTGCTCTTATCAATTGCTGCACTAAGCTCTTCACGCTGGCCCTGCTGAACAGATTAACCGTCTGGTCAGAGAAAACCAATGCAATCCCTGAGTGTCAATCAGGGTTCAGGAAATTTCGTGGTTGTGCGGACAATGTGTTCACTCTCAACTCTATCATTCAACTTCAACACCGACTCCGTAACCGCCAACTTTTTGTGGCATTCATCGATTTCAAAAGGGCTTTTGACTCAATCAATCACAGGCTCTTATGGCAAAAACTATATTCTCTCGGGGTGAGCTCTTCCTTTATCACTATTGTACGCAATCTATATGGTCTAGCTACCATTAAAATCAAGTCGAATCATAGTTACACGAAGAAATATGATGTATCTTCAGGAGTTTTGCAAGGTGAGTCCTTGAGCCCAATGCTATTCTCATTATTTTTGTCTGATATCGATACTTACTTTCGCAAACATGGTGCAGAGGGAATTTGTATCGATCAGCAAACTGATATCATTGTACTTCTTTATGCTGATGACCTCATTATCTTTGGTGGATCGGAAATTGACTTGTCAAGAAAACTAGGCATTCTGGAAAAGTACTCTTATGAGAATCGCCTTGAAATAAACACGTTGAAATCTAAGATAATGAGATTCTCCAAAAGTGGCTTCAGAACGACATATAACTATAGATTTCTGATAAACGGTCACGAGATTGAAATTGTGAATCAGTATTCTTACTTAGGGATATTGTTCGTTTCCTCGTCACTTTTCAGGGAAATGGCAAACCTGTCTGTAGGTAAGGCTAAACAAGCAATTCTCACTAAAACTAAGGCCAATTCGTGGAACGCCAGAATTAAATTATATAACTCCATTGTCGTTAACTCGTTCTCTTCTTGTCTTCCAGTATGGGGAATTCGCTACTGTGAGGTTATCGAGAGAGCACAAGTTTGCTTCATCAAAAGACTTCTACTACTTCCGCTGAACACCCCCGATTTTTTGCTTCGCCTGGAAACAGGTTTCTCTCATCTAGCCTACATCGTATTTAAGTACACTTACAACTGGCTTATCAAAATCGTCTCGATGGATCCCAATAGATACCCAAAAAAGTGCTTCCTCAGGTTGGTTAACGTGGGTTCTGGTGACAAGAAATATAACTGGGTCAAACAAGCCGAAGGTTTTTTTGAATCAATTGGAGCCCTTGATATCTTTAGTCAACACAATGCGCGCCTCCTCCGAACAAATAAATCCTTACTTTTGGAAAAATTTAAATTGAAATGTCACCAGGATGACGCAGCCCGCTATTTGAATTCTCGGTATCCTCTTTTCAGTTTCCCAAATCTTGCAAACTCTGTCACCGCACAAAAATACCTGTTTTTCAAAGTCCCAATTCATACCACCAGAATGCATGGCATACTTTAATCGTCTGAAAATTTCGTTCGAAGGTACATTTTATACAATAGATTTCACAGAATTGTGCACGTTATGTAATATGCACGAACAACAAACTCTTGAACATATCTCATTTATTTGTCCTATACTCTCTGTTGTCAGGCCAAACAACGTATCTTTTTTGGAAAATCGAAACTCTCTAGCTGCTGCTCTTCAAAATATAAGTACTGTTGAGGCCAAGATTATTTACGAGTGTGTTCATGAAATCATGAAGCTACGTGCCTTCATCGTCAACGAATAATTTCATTTCCCTCTATATCGTTAGATCCTTAAGCAATTTAATATAATATGTACCAACTTATATACTACATGAATTGGGTGAACGTTTCCATAGGTCATAATGTATTTTTTTACGAATGAATTGTATATCTCTCGTACCTATGATTGTATACAAGCACATTTAATTCTTTCTTTCTCCTCGGAGATTTGTAATAGGGGCATATTTGAATTTGTATTTGCACATCTATTTGTATTTTTATAATTGATATTGTATTTCTGCAGTGAATTTTCTTTACATTTTTTTTTTTCTCTTTTTGAAAGTTTTTTTTTTTACTAGATTATATTCTATAGGTTCTCTGAAACTCTTTGCTATAAGATTTTTTGTATTTCTTGTTGAGCAAATAAAAGAAAAAAAAAATAGTGTGTACGACGATGGGGTCGTTGTTTCCCCATTTGCCTATTGTACTCGTTATATACCCTTCAGAGTCGTCTCATACGGTAACTGCCATCGCATCTGCTCCAACTGTATGCATGTCAGATGCTGGACTGCAGAGTTACAATGTAAACATAGTCGAAGTCGAAGTTTCTTGTTCTGCAAACTGTATGCGTTATACCTGCTTGGAAGTCGTCTTATATGGTCAATGCAAACTCGTCTGCTTCAATAGTGTCCATGTGAGATGATAGGATAGAAATATATAGTGTGTACGACGATGGAGTCGTTGTATCCTTATTTGCCTATTGTACTCGTTATTCACCCTTCAAAGTTGTTTCATACGGTCACTGCCATCGTATCTGCTTCAACTGTATGCATGTCAGATGCTGGACTGCAGAGTTACAATGTAAACATAGTCAAAGTCGGAGTTGCATGTTCTCGTTCTCGTCTCATATGATCAATGAAAACTTGTCTGCTTCAGTAGTGTCAATGTGAGATGATAGGATAGAGAGATATAGTGTGCACAACGATGAAGTCGATGTATCTTCATTTGCCTATTGTACTCGTTATATACCCTCCAAAATCGTCTTATACTGTCACTGCAATCGTATCTGCTTCAACTATATGCATGTCAGATGCTAGCTTGCAGAGTAACAGTGTAAACATAGTCGAAGTCGAAGTTTCTTGTTCTGCAAATCGTGTGCGTTATGCCCGCTCGGAAGTCGTCTTATATGGTCAATGAGAACTCGTCGGCTTCGATAGTGTTCATGTGAGGTGATAGGATAGAGATATATAGTGTGTACGACGATGGAGTCGATGTATCCCCATGTGCCTATTGTACTCGTTATATACCCTTCAAAGTCGTCTCATACGGTCACTGCCATCGTATCTGTTTCAACTGTATGCATGTCAGATGCTTGACTGCAGAGTTACAATGTAAACATTGACAAAGTCGGAGTTTCTTGTTCTGCAAGATCTGTGCCCTATTCCCATTTGGAAGTCGTTTCATATGGTCAATGCGAACTTGTCTGCTTTAATAGTGTCAATGTAAGATGATAGGAGGGAGAGATATAGTGTGCACAACGATGAAGTCGATGTATCTTCATTTGCCTATTGTACCCGTTATGAACCTTTCAAAGTCGTCTTATACGGTCACTGCAATCGTATCTGCTTCAACTGTATGCATGTCAGATGCTAGACTGCAGAGTTACAGTGTGAACATGGTCGAAGTCGGAGTTTCTTGTTCTGCAAGTTGTGTGCGTTATACTCGCTCAGAAGTCGTCTCATATGAGCATCGC